ATAAAATATAGACACCGTCTACAGAGAGCTTCTGGTTTCTAGAAAATATTTTTGGCATTGTGATAGTCGTTTCGTGCATGTGTGTGGCTCAGTCTTTTAGATAGAGTTGACATCATGTGGTAATTGGAGAATTTCAGTTTTTATCCCAAATTTTCTGAGTATTAATGTGTCCAGAAATTTCGGATGAATAACTAGCCTCTTTCTTTTTTAAACTGCATAACCTTGTTCCCAAATTCTAGTTTCTTAATGGTAAATTGGTACAGGTTTGGAAATAAAGTTAAGGTTAGACTAACCATGGTTGCTGGTTGCTTGGTGAATAAGTGGGGGATTCCCTTGGATCAGGTGGGTGAAAGTGGGATTAGGAGGTGAGGTGATGGTAAGGAGGACAAGACATGAGTCTTTGCCAAAATTTATGAGCAAATTCAAAAATTAATCACCTTAATTCAAAATTTATTATTACCTTAAATTTGAACTTTTGGGTAATGGTAACACTGTTTTCTGACAGATTCCTTTTAAACTAAAGAACATAGGCTTTGGAAGATTTTCCATCAGGGCAGAGACCCACCTTGCATACCCAGTGTAATGACAAAATCCCAGTGTGCATTTAGATTAAGCTCTACTTACATTCTCTATAAATGATCCCTTTTGATGTGTGTGTGTATCTTTGACAATATGGTACCAAATTGTAAAATTTTTGTGAGATTAAGAATTTAAAATGTAACTTTTAGGAGCTTGTTATGTAAAGGACTTTGTGGAAAATACTTTTTGAAGATAAAACATTTTAAAATAATTGCCTCAAATCTTTTTTTCTATAGATCCATATTTTCTTGTTTTAGTGTTTCTTTAAAGCAAGTATAAGTGTGTGTGTGTGTGTATGTGTGTGGTGTGTATATTTGGAATTTTTTTCATAAGATTAGTGTACCAGAATTTTTGTTTCACAGCTCTGAAATAAAATAGACTTACCTTTTAGAAGGCTAACTCTATGTGTGTTATTCTGTAGAAGCAGAAAGGGACACACTTTATAGCCAAATGCAAAGAACTGAAATTTCCAAAAGCTTACAGGAAGCTTTACTATGAGTATGTTTTCAATTAGAAATTTGTACCTATTTTCCAAAGAACAGAATCATTGATTCTTTCATTTTTCTATAGTTTATATATCACCACTAAACCACTTCTATGTTGTTTTTAGATAATACTTTATAAACATATAGGTGGTATTCCAAAAGACACACAACTTTAACATGCTAAGTAGACATCAGGAGGAATACTAAGGAAACTTTAGTGTGAACAAAGTCTCCAGGGAAATTCCAGATATGACACTTTCAAAATTAGTTATTGTGCATACTCTAGGGAGAATATGTGGTTTAAGTTCATACAACATTAATAGATAAATTAATTTAGTTTTCTGATGTGGTAGGAAGCTATTTTGGATGTTGTCTTCTATGGTGATTTTTATAAACATTTACATAATTGCAAATATAGGTATATTTACTCTAGTAAACTGCAAAGAGAAGAACGCATATGTTTTCAGTTCATGGGAGAGTGAATTTTTTTGGATTTGAAAAGAGAATTTATTTTACTGTCAGCACAGTTCATGAAGCATAACCACTTTGTACTTAATGACATTATCATAGCACTGAAGGGGTTATCATGCAGTAGAACATGATTCTTAATGACTCAAGAATAGATATATTTATTTATTTTTTCTTGGACTGCTCTTTCTCCCACAGGGTTTCCATGTCATCCATGTGGTTTCCTTTCAGTTTTTTCAGGTCTCTGTTGAAAATGTCATCTTTTAAGGGTAGCATTACCTGACAGTTTTAGCTGAATAACCCTCAATTTCAGTCACTCCTCAGCCTCGAGTTCCTCATACCTTTCTTTATAGCACATGCCACCCCTGACATATTACATATTTGTTTGTCTCACCCACCAGACTATGAGCTCCGTAGAGGAGGGGTTTGTTCTTGGCTGTACCCCTGGAGCGCAGAATGGCAGGCTCCCAGGAAAGAGTTGTTGAGTGATTTATGAGTGGGGTTTCCTCTAAAAATGACTATTGACTTGGGTTTAAGATTTTCCCTACTATCTCTCTTTATCAACAGTGTTCTCATCTAACAATGATGATTTGGGCCACTAAATTATTTTGAATATTGATCTTTCCTTTCATTGCTCATTTTATCCTGAAATTAACAATACTCACTTTACTAATTAAGATTGCTGGCAGATAGGCATAATTAAACAGAACTGGTAATTCAAAGATCACTTTGGTTTTGGAATGTATTATGTGATTTTTTTTGGAGGGGCATAGAAGATATCAGATCAGTTTTATTTCATTATATTTTCCTTAGGCAACACATGAAAATTTGTCTTCATTCTCTGAGCTCATGCCAACCGCCTAGAGGAGAGAATTAGAGCAGAATAAGGTTTTGGAATCCATTTTGTCAAAGATGGGCCTTCCCTGATATGGATTCCAACCTTCTAAAGTATTTAGAAATACCTCAGGCCTCCAGAGGTTATAGAAACCTTAGTAGGAGTCAGAGGTGGTCATTTGTGTCCAGTTTTGCTGGCAAGTGAGATACCTAATGTTTTTTAACATACTGACCCTGTTATAGTTCTCTAAAAAGTTGACATCTTGAAAAATATTGCCGCCTTTAACTTACTCTCAGAAGTCAGACCAAGCAGTAGGTTTAGGCACTCAGGAAAGTGCACTTATAGATGCATACATACACCTCATGTGTGAGTGAAGAAAGGAGCTACATCAATGACTTGGCAGAGCAGTTATTGCACATAGATTATGGCCTCGGATGGAAAATATCTCTTACCTGGGATCACTTTCTCATTCTACTTTTCCTCTTGCCTTTCTATTGGCCACATCCATCCACCTTTTGTGTGGCTATTCGTGTACAACATCTGGTATGCAGTTTAAAATAGATCTTACATAAGGTAATATTCTGGTTTCAATCCTTTTGAAGGGTATTGCCCTTTTGCACTTCCTACAGTTACATCTCAACACCATTATTGGTATTCTCCATTGGTTGTTGCCATGATCAATGATTTGGGAGGGATGCATTTTTCTTAATACCTGCATATTTTCAGCATAGTCCTCTGTCATTCTTAGCTTTCTCTGGTGACCTTTCTCTTTTAAGAATATTTTTCTCCACATTTTCAGTAGATTTCTATTTTCCTTGTTTTAGTGGATACCTTAAAATGTAATTTTAAGTATTTATTAGTTTTCAAGAAGCATTATGGAAGAGTGGTTAAGAGCATATACTTTGGAACCAGATGACCTAGGTTTGAATCTCAGCTTATCATTTGGTACTTGTGTGACCTTGGCAAATTATTTCACTCTCTATCAAATATGGACACTAAAGGTGTCTACATCTTAGGGTTGTTATAAAGATTCAATAAGTTAATACATGTAAAACTTCCAGAAAAGTGCTCGGTACATCATGAATATTCAGTAAACATTAGTTATTGTTATTTCCTATAACAAAATATTTGTTCTTTATCTTATATAGTATCATTGCACTTTCTTCATAATGGTTTAGCATTTTCAGTAAGCAAAGGTCAAATTACCTTGAATAAATTATGCTATATCCACACAATAGAATATTATGCAACCATTAAAAGGATGAGATGGATCTACATATACTGACCAGAAAAGCTATTAATGATATTTTTAGATGGTAGTTTGCAGTTCCACATTCATATCAGAATTTAATGTTTAGGGCATCTCGGTGGCTCAGATGGTTTAGCGTCTGCCTTCGGCTCAGGTCATGATCCCAGGGTCCTGGGATCGAGTCCTGCATCGGGCTCCCTACTCCTTGGGAGCCTGCTTCTCCCTCTGCCTCTCTCTCTCTCTGTCTCTCATGAATAAATAAATAAAATCTTTTTTAAAAAAGAATTTAATGTTTAAAAACTATATTATATAAAAACATGTCTTTGTAAATGTAAGAAAATATTGGATATATACCTTGAATGAATGGATGGAAAGGAAACTTGAGCTCTTGAATTTCCTCTTTTATACGATTTTAAAAGTGTGGGATTGTGGGAATACACACATACACACACACAAACACACATACACTCTTTTTGTGCATTTCAGTGTTTTTAAAACATTAAAATTTCTTTTTTTTGCTTGTGTTGGATAGATACTCCAATGAAAGTCTGCATATTTCTAGCTTTAAAAAAACCCCAGATTTCTAAGAGTAAAGGCAATGCAGGAAGAGTTTTATTTATCAAGTGAGTCAAGAGACACAATAACAATATCTTCAATTATTTCTTTGCAGGAGTAGATTGAAAAGAAATGTATGGGTCCTGTGTGCCCACCGACACACAGGTATACACAGGTGTGTGCACACAGTCTTAAAATGACTGAGTTACTCTAGAAAAGGACAGGAATTCTCATAAGGCAAAATGAAGAAAAATAAGGCCAAAGGAATGGGATAAGAGAAATATAAATTGATAATATATTCCTAGAGCTGTGGTTTTCACATTTGAGTAACAGTTGCAACATAACTAATAAAGTAATTGCTAACCCATTTGAGAGCTCACTGTGTGCCAAGCAGTGTTCTACGCACTTACAATGTTATTTTTCTGTTAATATATGGGTATATTTGTGGGTATATTTTTATGTCCAGAATGTGTGTGCAATAGTATACATATTTTTACATAATTGTGATTGAGTGTACAGCCCTTGATCTGTCAGTGTAGCATAAGCATAGAGAAAAAACAATGAGTTCTGTAGCTATTTTTAAAAGTAGTTAATTTTTCTCGTTTCTGATATTTTTAATTCCCTTGAAAAGTTTCACTTGCTGCATAAAACCAAGAACCCCGATCTGCATGATATCTTTGTGGTTAGTTGCTGTAAAGCCAATATTTAAATTTCTTTGAGGTCTTTTTTAGTGCCTGGTATTACAGGATGAAGATCTCATCAGGAGGGTGAATATATATGTGGCTCTGGGTCTTGTGCATTTTGTGACAAAGGAATTCCCCTTTGAATCGCCTGCTCCCCTGAAGCCCCTGGAGCCTCTGGCTCAAGCAGCGCCGTTGGTCTGTGCAGTGTCTCTGACGTCATCGGTGTATGCATAAGCCCTGCTATTGTCTTACTGCTACAGCAGGGCTGGGGATTGCGGTATCCGCTGTTGCCGCTGCTCCCAGGCCTGCCCCTGCTGCTACCTAGTCCTGCCTCACTGCATCCCAGAAGAGCCACGTTGGCTTGCCTTTCCCTATTGGATTTTCAAAAGCAGCTCTTCGGGTTTTGTGCTGTGGGAGACCTTGCTTTTCAATCACACGGGAGGACACTGAAGCTTGTAAGAGGAGAATCTGGCAGCTGGACACAGCTTGGACTGCATTGTGTGTCTTCATGACCCCTGCTGTGTAGCGGCCCATCTTTTCACTCTCACACGTACACTCTCCTCGATTTTATTTCCTTCCTTTTTTTTTTTTCTTTCTTCTAATTTTTTTAAAGCAGCCTCTGGAGCCAGCCATGTTTGGCACTGAATCTTCATGTAAGTAAATGGATCCCACTTCTTTGCTATTTAGAAATCTGTTTGCTGTCAAGGTTTCATTGGCTTGGACTTCATATCACTTTGCCTTAGGTCATTAACAGCCTTTGTATTTTGGCTCTGATTACAAAGGAATTGGTCCCAGGGAAGGGACTCCTCCTTAACTGGGTTATTCATTCTTAAGGCCAGGGATGTCAGTGTGGTCAAAACCAGGCCTTCAAGAGGGAGGAGGGAGGAAGACAGGAATCCAGGCAGTCTCCCCAGAACATGTTAATTGATGGGATCAAGTCTGTCACAGATCTATTGTGGGTTCTATAATGGTCCTTAAACCTAAAGTAGAAACTGGGAGGATCTGAGATGATAGTGTTTATTAGAAAGGGAAAAAGGGTTTATGGTTTTTATCTAAAAGGAAAAAAAAAAGGTGTCATTACACCGTCTTCCTCCATATTTTTACGAAAGCATAGGAGTAGTCATTATATGCAGATTTAAAGAAAAAGAAATAAGCTTTATTGTAGAGATTTTTTTTTTTTTTTTAACACAATGATTTCAGTGTCGATACGCTGGCTAGCGTCACAGTCTAGCAGCATCATATCTGTCTTAAAACTTATACAATAAAATTGCTTTGGTGCAGAGCAGGCCCTGCACAATGGGCTGGGCTGGACAGCACTTGTAGACAGCTACAATTGGTATTTAAAAAATGATGACCAGCCTGACTAATTGGAGTATTATTTAATGTTGGATGTAGAATAATAGAACTTATCCTTGCAGTCACACAGGCTTTGCAGAATATTTTGTCATTATCAAATAGCAATATCAAAATATCATTTGTCAATATTTTGTCATAAGCAAAGATGACAGTTAAGTATTTATGAAGAGACTCAACCTGCTGGCCTAGAACATTAAAAATTGGCAAGATACCATCTTTGTGGGGAGAAGGGGGTTAGGGCAGGAATTTAGGAAATGCATTTCTTAAGAATTTATAATCCGACCTTTTCTTTCTGATCTCAGGTGATTAGTGTGCCTATTTGTGTGCAGCTGATGATTGTTCTAGAATAGTTGTATTTCAAGAGAGCTTATAATCCTCAGTTTTTCTGTTTCTTGATTGTTTTTTTTAAAGGATTGATTATTTTTGTTGTTTCACATGGAAGCTTCTCATTGCTGAAATTAACCACACTAATGAAGGTCAAGATAGAATAATAATGAGACATAATGTTCCCTTAAGCATATGATAATATTATTTTCTAATAATTTAAAAATATTTTTTGAATTCACTTAATGGTACATCTGGAATTATTGTCACCCAAGAAATAGGAACAGATTATTAAGTGGCAAAGACTTTCTACAGTTTCCTTTTAGTCATGGAATTTTGTTGATGTAGGAGCCTAGGTGTGGACAAATCTGCTGAAGGAAAATTAGTCTTATTACTTTGTTTAGCTGAAAATAGAAGTTGAAACTCAGTGTGGGAGTCTTTGGGCTCTTGGATTAGGGACTCTAACAATGTCTGGCCAGGTTTACTAAGCAGATACAGCCTTTCTTGATTATCAAACCTGATCTTTTAATAATGTCACCCATGTGCTATGTTGTATGTTTGAAAACTGCTGGTTGCTTTTGGTCTCCGTAGCTACCAGATTACTGAACAGACAGAATACCATTCAGAAGACCATCATGCAGATTTTTGACTGTTTTTTTTTTTTTTTAACCTAATTGAGTATTAAGTTTTGCTTCTTGCTTATCACTAGAAGACCACAGATAGGTTTGTATTCGCAGTGATAATCATTAAGTGTTGAGAAAGGACTGCCTTCTTTTGATAAGGAGATGCCTTAAATCTATACTCAGAGTTTAGACAAGTGTATTTTCTTTCTGTTTTGAGGCATAGCTTTCTAGGCCTTTAATTTCTGCCTTTTGGAGGCTTTATAGGCTGAAACTGTCTATATTTAGAATATTCAGAAAAATAAGTCACATTTCAAGTTCTAATTAGTTCAGAAGGGATCTTCAAAACCAACTAAGACATTCTCACTGAATTTTTATAATAAATACTTGTTTATCTACCCTGTGTACAATATTGTGCTAGATCCTGGAAAGGTCATTTTTTTCTAACATTCTGATTTCATTATTATTTTTGATTTCTGGTTGTAGTACTTTGCTTGTATTGGATGCTTTTACTTTTTAAATTGAAGTATGGTTTACATAGGATAAAATGTGTATGTCAAAGTATGCAGCTTGGTAAATTTTTGTCTATGTTTATACCCATGGAACCACGCCCCAGATTAAGATACAGAATATTTATATTGCCCTAGAAAGTTCCTTTGTGACGACCTTTCCCAGTCAAAAGGAAATCACTATTCTGACTTCTTTTTCTTTTCTGCTTCTTTTAGAGTCACATGTAAATGGCCCTTGTAAATTTTCTCTCTCCCTTGCTTTTTGCCTATAAGAGAAGGAAATGTCAATGTCCTCGTTTTTTCAAATACTAGAGTAAGTTGATTTTATGTTTCAGACCTTTGTAGTCAGGAATTTTTAGTAGCTGGTATCACGTCATAACATGTTCTGTGTCACTAAAATAGTATTGCTCCATTTAATTACCAAAAAGACCCCTCCCCTCCAGCACACACGTACAAAAGCCTTAAAAATGTCAAAAAATTTACTTGGAAGAGTAGACACTTGTTCTTCAAAGTTAAAGACTTACATAGCTAAGGCATCAGAATTAATAAATGCTCTTACATTGTTTTAGTGAATATCTTCTGATAGCATTCTAGTGAATATCTTTAACAGTGCCAGTCTCAGTTTTTCTGACTTAGTGGATCTGAATCTCCTTGGTTGTGTAGATTGGCTACTGTCTATTTTGGGCCCACTTGGAATGCAAGTGTTCTATGTTATATGTGGATGAATCCTTACAAAGCAGGAAGTGTAGCTTCTGTAGCTCTGTTACCATCTTGAAGTATTTCACTGAGCTTTTCCTTTACTGAAATTTCCCATTCTAAAAATGGGAGTAGTATGTCTGCTTTTTATCTGCTTTGAGGAAATGCAATTTTAGTTTCTGTGGTCAGAATAATTTAGGCTTAAGAAAAAAGTACTATCAGCAAAGTTTTGTTGAGGAAAGTGGTCATTAAAATGCATATTTTTGGTACTTAATTTGACTTAATGATCTTTTAAAATCAATAAATTGAATTCTACAAAAATTTGACAATTTTACTTTTCTTTTAAAGTTTTATAAAGGGACAGAAAAATTTCATCTTTTCTTTTAGTGGAATCAAGAAAACTGGTTTTGTACTGCTGTCATTTGGTTATATCCTTCTTGATAAAGCCGGTTATTCTCCAAAGTGTAAATACTTCAAGTACAATGATCATTTTTTTCAATTAGCATTTATCTGGCTCCATCCTCCTTCTGTCTCCCCTCCCATGTTTAACTTTTTCAGGCCTCAAGGGTACCATTTAAGGTGTGCTGTGGTGGGAATTGTGCTCTAGTTTAACACATTAATATGTCTTCCAAAGAACCTGCCTCATTAGTCCAGTGAAGAGAGCAATATCTTACCTTTTGAGAAACAACATGCCTCTGGGCAAATAACGTCATTTAATGCCTCCTTCCAAAATTTTGTTATAGTTGTAATAAATTGAAAAGAACATCTAGTGCATCTGTGGAAGGGAAAAAGAAATAACTAACGTGCCAATAAAGCGGTAGGATTTAGTGAGCTTAGTGGTGATGGGAAAATGATGGATATGTGTGTCAGGATGTCAGTTCTCTTGAGCTCTGGTGTGGCTGTCCCTGCCATTGTCTGGATGCCCACATCACCCTGAGTAGGTAGCTAGGTGCTGGAAAGTATTTGGGATACATGTGATGCCCCATGTGGTTTATCTTTGATGGACACCAAAAGTTCAGCTGCTGCCCTTTGTTTTCATTACTGATGAATGCATTAAGTTGGAACTGACAGCTTCTCAGTTTTAATAGTGAGTGTGGTACCATGTTTCTAAGAATAATGTAATTATCTCAAATTTTGAGCCATTGTGTGGAAGATAGTCAAAAGAATATACTCTAGCAATATTAGGTCACCAAGAAACTGTACAATTAAACAGGCATCTCTTTGATAGAGAAACAAATGAGTCACACTCCTTTCTTTACATGCATTTCAGGGCCATTCTTGATAACCAGTCATACGTGAGATTAAACTTGGGTCTATTGTTTTGGTGTAATTTCTGTCAATCAGTTGAGATGTTAATAGTTACCATGTTCATTCAAAAATGGCTATTCACAACTGGACCATATTTCAAAATAAGTCCTACTTCTTATTAAATAATTGTGTCAGAGTACTATTTTTGCTATTAATATGTTTGACATTCTAGTACTATATTTTGTTTTTCCCTTTATTAGTTTTTGTCATATGGAACAAGATAATATAGGGATACAGCCATTTCCTTTTCCTACAGCTTTAACTGGCTGTTAGTACTTAGCTGCATTGGATTTTAGATGCTTTCATCTTACATAAAGCAAAAGTACAAATACTTACGTATACACATAAAATCTTACCTCTAAGTCAGCACTCAAGCAGTGAGTGTAAAAGAAAAATATTATTCTGCATGACTTCAGATAAGTAGAATACCACAGGCTGCTAATGTCACAAATATGGGAAAATAATTATAGATAACAGAGATTTATGTTGGGACATGGTCATCAGGAGCCTGGGAAAGCTAAATAAAGCTCATAAAACATTTGACTTGTTTTGCTGTATCATCTTTTTTTTCCTTCTGACAATATAAGTTCTGATGTGAAATTTCCTTTTGGGTTTCTTGCCTGTTAATAGTTGACATTGTAATTTTTAGTATCAAGAAAATATTTTAAACTAAATAAGATAGAAACACATTTTTCTTCTGGATATTTATATACTTATTCTGCTAATACAGAAATGGAATAAAGATACCCAGTAGTTATTTTTAAATTCTCAGATTACTTATTTTCACTTGAATATTGGCGTCCCTAATTGTTAGTCTATAGTTTGTCCAGCAGAAATTAC